AGGAAAATGAGCAGCTTGAGAATAAGCAAAATTCGAGCAAACTGGCGACAGAGGAAGGCGATTGACTCCTCCGCTTATTTTCCTTTTGGAGAATGCGTGGTAATTAGCAATATGAGTGCGATTCACATTCAGTCCTTTGTCGAGAATTCTTCCGGTTTGAACATTGTCTTTACCTCTGGGTTTTCCAGATCGGTACAAGCACATTCCTTTTCAAGCATTCCCCATGCAACGCTGATACTACGATTGCTCATTCTCCACAATGGCAAAGAGTGAACAGACTTTTTGAATGGACTTTTTGAATAAGGCCCTCACCCGTGATGATCGGACTTTATTTGAGAGGCAAGCCGATTATTAACAAAACCGACAGTGTCGGTCCAATACTGTCGAAGAAATACCGTGAGGTGCTGAAGTAGAAGTGCGTATAGATGTTAGTGTGCATGCCTGTCGTTCCAAAACGGTAGTAGTCGAAGCTATGGCAGTTCTCAGCTTTCTTTCTCACCATGTTCTTTCCTTTCCTCACATATCTTTTGGTGGTGTTCAGGCGTCAGCAATAGTCAGGGCTTAGCAATCGCGTATTTCCTGTGCCAAGTGAGTGTTGTAATTTGAATTTTCAGACTCCACCACTTCTTATTCGAATTTTGACGCTGCTGTTTATGCAGCTGCATCATCTTATCTGCACTCGAAAGCAACAGGAACTGCGAATGCGTGGATGAGTAAGAAAACCGGTTCGTTAATTTTCTCCTTATAACTGGAGAAAAAAGTAATCAGGGCCTGATATGAGGTTTGGACGGTTCGATTATCGGTGTTCTTCCCAGTGCGCGCTTTTGAGGCACTCTTCCCTGCTCAAGACTATGTTCACAGTTGTGTTAAAGCCTCACTAGTGTATGTTGTCGGTGGACCCGACGCGTGAGGGTGCAGAACACTGCCCCGGGGCGCTAGAGCACTCGCAAACAGCGTTACGTAGCACCTCGTGCGTAATTGCTCTCTTGCCGTGCTGCGGCCATATTCCCAAGCACGTTTCTTCACAAGTACAGTCTTAGAGTTTCCGAGCTTCATTGTGCATGAGATTTCCTCGTCTTTTGATAGAAGAAATCGACGTGTTTGTGCGACGTTTCGACCTCCGAGCTCCTCCTCTCCTCGGTCTACAAAGTACAATTACATATTACGCACGTCAGCAGCAGTAGTTAAATCTCCAAAATTCTCTAATTAAATCTTAAACAAGCAAACACGAAAACGAAGTGCCGTTAACAACGAATTAAGATTGATTAGACAAGAAGCTTAAGGGACTGTTGGTCCCGTGAGTCTCGCGAATCACTGCAAAGATCATGGGACGGACACAGAAAGAGCATGTTAGAGAGATCTAACACTTCAGCTGCTCGTCCCTACAAATGGGGGAGCTAGCTCGATGAAACGTAGGGTAAATGTTTGGCACCTTGCGAGTAACACGAGTGTACCCATGCACCAGATCTATCTATTTTCATTTTTGTGCGGATGCAGCTAAAAAGGTGAGGCCTCCCAAATACCGCGTTCAGAGTTCGTGATCGGATCGCTCAAGCGATTGGATCGCACGACCGCGACCGAGGGCATTTTACCGCTAAGCGGTCACCGCCGCAACGGCAAAATTCATAGTAGGCCGGGTTCACACAGTGTCAGTTTG